CCCAAGAGGACCTCATACATGCTCCTCGCCCAAAGACAGCCAAACCATTTTAGCATTCCTATCTTTTGCCAAAACCATGATATTAGTCTGAATCACTTTACACCTGAGGTTATGTAGCTTTTGGTAAATTATATTTTTGACTGCATCTGGCGTGCGGTCCGTGGGTGCGGCTGCCGAGACGACAAGGAAGTCTCGTCTATCGACGTTATGAATGTTTACTTTCGTTTGATGGGGACGTCACTCGAATGATGAAGTTGGAGTCTTGAGTGCGACTCCTCCCGATACAATACACTTTCGTTTCTGTGGTCTTGAGCCTGCGAGCTAAATATTCCTGTTTTCCTATACACATCAGGATGCGCCCTTTAAATGTGTGTTTGAGGGGGCGTTGTGGATGGAAAAAGGCTTCCGCTGGTGGGGAAGGATTTAGTGAAGCTTAACATTAGTCGAGGCAGCATGCAAGAGAACATAGGCAAAATTTACATCTGAGGCGTTACAGCTAATACAATCGTCTGATGTTCCCGATGTACGTGAATGTACGTGAGGGTAACCGGAGTGAAATGGAGGGGTATTGGCGAATCAGGAAGATGTGCATGGTGTAGAATTGCTTGCAGTCATAGAGTTAGTTTTTCACTCCGAGTTCGATTAAGTAAGAATGCTTATGGTTGTCTGCATTGTAAGCATTTGTACTATTGGGTCCCCCAGTTCAGGATCGGCCCTGTTTGAGGTTGCACTCTAGCCTTTGAAAATTCAAGAGTTAACTGTAAGACAGAAGCGTTGCTCCAGGTACGCCGGTTACCACTTGAATGGTTCCTTCGTCTTCCCTGGAGAACATTGTCTGGCTAATGGAGCCTGACAAAGAGAACTGATCGCATTTAGTGACGGGCCACATTCGCCACTTCATTGCGTTGTGCACTGTTACATGTGGCGTTTTGTGTAGGGGTCCCTTACCGCGAATCTCTCAAGACCGTTTTCTCAGCAAACCTAGAACCACTTTCTGCACGATATCCTATGAGGTAATGACCATCCCCCCATCCGCGAACTGGGGACGAGATCGGTAGCATAAAGTTCCGCTCTTCTAGAATCATCACATAAACTTATCATTGAGCATTACTAGAAAGGCTAAAAAATTTGGTATTTGTTCACTGTTGTGTTATCGTGCATGCGGCTGACTACCGCATTGATCATCTTCGTCGGGGCTAATCGTGTTTTCCGGCAATTTCACTTCCTCCTAGAGGAGGACAAGAAATTGTTGGATGTTGGAGCGAATTACGTCGTCACAGTGGATGAATTGATTAGCACTAAAGCATCCACTGATATCACACTTTTACGCTTTTTAACCGATTTGTAATCCTAGTGGTGTGAAGGTCATAAACGCTGTGTGCAATTGAAACTCGAGTTTTTCTTTATATGAAAAGGTTCGTCGTATATGAAATAGTTTTACGATTTGTACCGCAAAATGTTTCTTCCTGACCCGCAGCATAGTACAAGTTGTCGCCTCATTGCGAAAAAGTTTTATGCACAATGTGAACAGTTGTTGTATTAATAACGGGAGCATTTATTTGTCCTTCTGTTTACACTGTCCCTCAGATCCTAGTTTCCTCCAGCTATGACAATGTAATCAATCTCTACAGAGAAGAAATGGATGACTGGACAGTTGCAGTGCAATTGAGTAAGTATTTTATATACATCTTAGTCGTTTAAGTGCATTATATTGTTTCTGTTTCTTGTTATTTGTTTTATTTACAAGCGTTCGGTTTTACGACTCCAGTTGCCATTGATGGATAAATCGTTCAAAGCGTGTTTTGGGGGCTACATTTAACCACACCAATTCGGGCCCATAATTGATAGGTCAGCTGCAATGCTTTGTTATTTTTGTCACTACTTTCTATTTTGTCAGTAGTTGCACACTGAAGGACCTGTTTAATCACTCAAATTCAAGATAGCCCAATCGAATTCACGTCAGCGTTACCCTGGGCTTGATCGTCAGTGAAAATGTCACTTTGAGGAATGTTTTATTGAGCTGACATTTCACACTGATTTTGCGTCCGTGGATTGATTTTTGATCTGTTGACTGCAGTTGAATGATTGTGAATGTTTTTTTCGTTCATTAATTTTTTTGACCTGTAGGTTGACACTCGATTTTCAAATTGATGGAATTGCCGATCTTTCATTTATTTGTCTCCTAACATTTTGTATTGTTTATCTCAGCGATATTTTCATTTCCCAAATTTATTTTTTCTTAGATAATTTTACATCAATCTATTTGATTGTGCCCATCGTAATGAGTCGTTTTGCGGTTCACCATTGTAAGTCGCTGGTATTGTTTCCGACTGCCATGAGTGAACAGTAACATTTGGGACAGTGGAATTGCCACATCTGTTGTTGGACACGGAACGGTATGTAATTAAAGTTTACCTTAGAATTAGTGGTATAGGGGAAAAATGGCCTTTTCCCTATCAGTGATATGGCTGTTGCAAACAGTGGTGTTCGT